TGTTTATACTAAGTCGTAAGTGTACAGTCATGGGAGATTCCTGGATTTGGGGAAGTTCCATTAACTTGGGGTTTCACAGTATATTGTGTACTGCAAGAGTCGTAATATAGCCTTGAAGCTTGTTTATGCATTATTGTTAATGTAATTCGTCTGGGACAAAATGGCGCAAACATATTATGCACTGAGGTTATTGCTTAAAGACATTCTAAAACTTGTAATATTTGCATTTGCCCATAACAGTATATGTAACCTCTGCTTCCAATTTGTTAATTTTATCTCTATTCTCTGCGGGTAATGGTCACTTCATTCTGACAAAAAAAAAACCTTACAGGTCAAGTGAATAATATTGATAAGATAATATTGATTATTTTGTTACACTTGATTATACAGGGAGTGCAGAATTATTAGGCAAATTAGTATTTTGACCACATCATCCTCTTTATGCATGTTGTCTTACTCCAAGCTGTATAGGCTCGAAAGCCTACTACCAATTAAGCATATAAGGTGATGTGCATCTCTGTAATGAGAAGGGGTGTGGTCTAATGACATCAACACCCTATATCAGGTGTGCATAATTATTAGGCAACTTCCTTTCCTTTGGCAAAATGGGTCAAAAGAAGGACTTGACAGGCTCAGAAAAGTCAAAAATAGTGAGATATCTTGCAGAGGGATGCAGCACTCTTAAAATTGCAAAGCTTCTGAAGCGTGATCATCGAACAATCAAGCGTTTCATTCAAAATAGTCAACAGGGTCGCAAGAAGCGTGTGGAAAAACCAAGGCACAAAATAATTGCCCATGAACTGAGAAAAGTCAAGCGTGCAGCTGCCACGATGCCACTTGCCACCAGTTTGGCCATATTTCAGAGCTGCAACATCACTGGAGTGCCCAAAAGCACAAGGTGTGCAATACTCAGAGACATGGCCAAGGTAAGAAAGGCTGAAAGACGACCACCACTGAACAAGACACACAAGCTGAAACGTCAAGACTGGGCCAAGAAATATCTCAAGACTGATTTTTCTAAGGTTTTATGGACTGATGAAATGAGAGTGAGTCTTGATGGGCCAGATGGATGGGCCCGTGGCTGGATTGGTAAAGGGCAGAGAGCTCCAGTCCGACTCAGACGCCAGCAAGGTGGAGGTGGAGTACTGGTTTGGGCTGGTATCATCAAAGATGAGCTTGTGGGGCCTTTTTGGGTTGAGGATGGAGTCAAGCTCAACTCCCAGTCCTACTGCCAGTTCCTGGAAGACACCTTCTTCAAGCAGTGGTACAGGAAGAAGTCTGCATCCTTCAAGAAAAACATGATTTTCATGCAGGACAATGCTCCATCACACGCGTCCAAGTACTCCACAGCGTGGCTGGCAAGAAAGGGTATAAAAGAAGAAAATCTAATGACATGGCCTCCTTGTTCACCTGATCTGAACCCCATTGAGAACCTGTGGTCCATCATCAAATGTGAGATTTACAAGGAGGGAAAACAGTACACCTCTCTGAACAGTGTCTGGGAGGCTGTGGTTGCTGCTGCACACAATGTTGATGGTGAACAGATCAAAACACTGACAGAATCCATGGATGGCAGGCTTTTGAGTGTCCTTGCAAAGAAAGGTGGCTATATTGGTCACTGATTTGTTTTTGTTTTGTTTTTGAATGTCAGAAATGTATATTTGTGAATGTTGAGATGTTATATTGGTTTCACTGGTAATAATAAATAATTGAAATGGGTATATATTTGTTTTTTGTTAAGTTGCCTAATAATTATGCACAGTAATAGTCACCTGCACACACAGATATCCCCCTAACATAGCTAAAACTAAAAACAAACTAAAAACTACTTCCAAAAATATTCAGCTTTGATATTATTGAGTTTTTTGGGTTCATTGAGAACATGGTTGTTGTTCAATAATAAAATTAATCCTCAAAAATACAACTTGCCTAATAATTCTGCACTCCCTGTACTGTTACAAGGGGTGGAATAAATTAGGCAACAAGTGAACAGTTAGCTCTTGAATTTCCTGTATTTGAAGCAGGAAAAATGGACAAGCGAAAAGATCTGAGTGACTTTGACAAGATCCAAATAGTGATGGGTAGATGACTGGATCAGAGATCTCCAAACGGCAAGTCTTGTGGGGAGTACACGGTATGTAGTGGTTAGTACCTACCAAAAGTGGCACAAGGAAGGATAACCGGTAAACCAGCATCAGGGTCATGGGTGCCAAAGGCTCATTGATGCATGTGGGAAGTGAAGTCTAGCCCGTCCTGGTTAATTCTCACATCCAGCTACTGTAGCTCAAATTGATTTAAAAAAAAAAAACTAATCCTAGCCATGATAGAAAAGTGTCAGAACACACAGGCTGCTCATGTTGCCCATGAGATCCCCTGACAACAACCGAAAGCACCTTCAATGGCATTGTGATCATCAGAACTTAACCCTGGAGAAATGGAAGATGGCTGCCTAGTTTGATGAATCACATTTTCTTTTAGATCAGGTGGCTGGCCGGGTGTGTGTACATTGTTTACCTGGGGAACAGATGGCAGCAGCAAGCACTGTGGGAAGAAGGAAGGTTGGCAGAGGTAGTGTTATGCTCAGGGCAATGTTCTGCTGGGAAGCCTTGGGTCCTGGCATTCATGTGGATGTTAATTTGACACATACCACCTACCTAGAAATTGTTAAAGACAACAGCAGGGTAATGCACATTGTCACACTGGAAAAACTGTTCAGGAGCGATTTTAGGAACATGACAGAGATCAAGGTGTTGCCTTCGCCTCCAAATTCTCAAGATAGCAATACAATTGAGCATCTGTGGGATGTGTTTAAACAACAAATACAATAAATGGAAGTGCCACCTAGCAGGACTTAAAAGGATCTGCTTCTAATGTCTTGGTGCCAGCTACTACAGGACACGAGTCCATGCCTTGATGCATCAGCACAAGGAGGACCTACTCTATATAAGGTAAGTGGTTTTAATGTTGTGGCTGATCAGTGTAAGATAATGACGTAAGTGTGAGAAAATGAACTGATAGACAGATCTTCAGTCTATGCTCCATGTTCACTTCAGGGTGTCAACAGTGAGTTGATGGGATATAGCTCATGAATTATGTGGCATTTCATTTTTAATACACAGATAAGTTGTTTCCTGTATAAATATATTACATCTACATGTAGATACCATTCTAAGCAGTGAATGGGTGCATGAGGGCTATAAAAAATATGTTTATTATGAATTGGAGTCATGGGCTCTGGAATTCCAAGCAGTAGAGGAATGCAATCAGTGGCACTTTCTGCTCTGCAAAGTAGTCTGCTAGAGGATTAAGGGGCTTGTACTTGTGTAGGGAGTACCTTGCAGATGAGGTAAAAACTAGTGGGGGGAAAATGAGTAAAACTTAGTTTTTTGTTTTTCATTTTTATTGCAAACGAGGAAGGGGGACCTATTTTTGACCAAGGACAGGGATACTACAGATTCAGGAATACAGCTTTGTATTCCTAACTCTACAGTTGTCCTAAACATACAGAAGGTTTAAACCATGGTTTCCAGCTATAAATATATATCTTTAAGTTTTATATTAGCCACTACACATACCCTTTTACTCTACTAAGATCAATTGCAGTAGCCCATTTCCTCTGGCCAGTCCATAGTGTTTTGCCTTTACCTAATTGTATATGATAATTTTGCAAATGTTGTAACATTCTTGTATTTTTCCTTCAGTTGTACTTGGGAAAAATTATTCCAGAGTGGGCATGGATTTCCATTTTTAACATGTTCTGTACAGCCATTCGCAGAAATTATTTTGCCAACAAGAAATAAAGAAGATTGTCCTTCAGCAGAACATGACAGATTCTATTCTCAGCAATACTAAATAGATGTTGTTTATCTACCCTCAATAATAAACTTGGTGAATGTTAGACACCCCTAACACCACGTATGCCTTGTCCTTTAACTATATCGCAAATAAAATTAAATATATGAAAACAAGATTTCAAATATTGTTTTTCCTTTAAATGTGTTACTAGCTCTACAACAGATTGTTTTAAGGTGAGACCACCAGTGATGTAGCATGTTCCATTTATCATTTACCCATAGAATGCCCAGTTTTTAAGGTATCACATGTGGCTGTAGCCTTCTAATGTAGGACCTAGAATGTCACATGGAAGATACAATAACCAATACTTTAGAATATACTTAATGTAATATTTCCTACAGGTATGTTGAAAGGCTACATGTACTATAGCTACAGTGTTACAGCTGACAGATATTTAGCTGCAGAAAGGCTATTTACCTGTACCATACAGTACACATTATCACATCAGCTGGTAAATATACCTCTTGCAGATTCTATACAATGATTTTTTTTTTCTCTTTTACGAGTCTTTTCCATCCAAATTCTACGAGACTTGGCCTTCGGACATAAATTGCTGTTCTTCCCCACACTATGCACAAAAGCTTCCCACAAGTTATTCTTTAGGAATAGACCAATATAATTTTTCCAAAGCCGAAACAAGCTTGTATCGCCACGACAGCTGGTACGGGCTAAAGTAGTACAATAAGAAACAGTGTCTTGGCTTGCGGGAATGGCACAAATTTTGTTAGAATATGCGTGTAGAGTAAATATGTCTAAGAACATTTGTAAATAGGTATTGGTTATACATGTTAAACAGGCGTGTCCGTAGTCTAGATAATACAAACTGTCTTACAATATTAACTACCCAGACCTAATGTTAGTTATTTATAAGCTGGGTGGACTTGCGGGAATGGCACAAATTTTAGTATATGCATGGTGAGTAAACATATCTAAGAACATTTGTAAATAGGTATTGATTATACATGTTAATCAGGCGCTTCTATGGTCTAGATAATACAAACAGTCGTACAATATAAACTACCCAGACTTATGTTAGTTATTTAGAGGCTGGGTGGGCTATTTGTACTGGAAGGCAGATCAAATGAGTACATATAGTATGAGCCGTCTGCTGTGCTCCTAGGAGCTTCTCGCGGGGGGTTATGCAGTTATGTGAACATGTGATAAACATTTAACGCAAATGGAGATAACGAGAAGAAAGAAACAGTACTTGAATTGCAGAAGGTTCTATAGATTATTGTGGTATTCTGTGAGCAGTTCATGACCCTGAGGGTGACGATGGGTTTCCTCGGAGGGCCGCCGGTACGAATGGGCGCACCTTCCCTGGGTCCCAGTGAGTAATAGTGGAAGGTGTCAGCTGAGATAGTACTGCAACCGTTTGCTTGCACTATACCGGGTATTTCAGCAGCATTGGTGAGTTTCAGGTCGCCATGTTCCTTTGGTATGATTAGGCTTCTCGGCGCTCCCCAGCGGTACAATATTTTCGGGCAATGAGTTCCTTTTGTCAGTGGGTGGAGTGAGCGTCTCCAATCCAGGGTAGCTCTGGATAAGTCAGGAAAAAATGTTAACGAGTGTTCCTCAAATTGTAAGGGTGACCTGTTGCGGATGGCCGCCATGAAGGCCAGTTGGTCCTGGCTCTGCTGGAAGCAGATGATGGTGTCCCTGCTATTGCTCTGGGTGCTTGTGGCTGGTTTGGGGATTCTGTACCATCCATCTAGAGGTATCGCCTTGGCCTGTTTAGCGGGAAATAAAGTATTGAGCATCCTGCGGAATAGGTGCGGGAACTCCGCAGGCTCTAGTGTGTCAGGCAGGCCTCTAGTTTTAATATTCTTCCAGCGCCTTTTGTCTTCCATTACTGCCATATTTTCTTTGGCTTGTGTCTGTTCTCGTTGTAAGGCAGCCATCTGTCTCTCCATCGTTTGTATGCGGTTCTCGTGATCCGCGGTGTTCAATTCAGTGTGTTGCAAGCGTGCCGAGACGCCATTGATTTCCTCCCGGAACTGCCAGATGTTGGTTGCAATGTTCCGGCGTAGCTCATCTAATAGGAGGCTTCGCAGCCGGTAAGGGCTTTGGGGGTACAGGTCTGGTAGGTACCTTAGTGTAGTAGTCCTCCCCATCAGCCAAGATCTCGTCACTGGAGGATATTCCATCAGACATTGACGCCATTTCGGGCCGTCCAGATGCTTGCAGCCTTCTCAGTAGTTCGCCGATATCGGCCGTTGCGGGGGGTCATTCCACTTTGTATTTCTTGGTGCATCGCCCCATGCCTTCAGTGTGGTAAATATCACCTTTGTGCCAGGTTTTGCGAGGAAGTTCCCGTGGGAATTGCTTATTTTGTCGTTTGTGCTCGGAGCTCAAGGAAGATGCGTCCTCACAGTATGGCTGCTGCCTCCGCCCCCTCTATCAGCAGCCTTTTTGTCCGATTGCCAATAACTGGTACCGATATTCTGTACAAGTTTTGAAAAAGCAACACAATTTCTACACAAATCAGTCATTAACTGAGCATGTTTATTGTTTAATATTTTTTTATTTTGTTTTGTGAAAAGCCTGTTTCACAAAAAGCCGATTAAGAACTATTTTTGTCTCTGTATCCTTATACTACCAAGGATCTCATCTGTGACAAAAGCAAAAAAAATTGGAATGAGGGCAACGCTATTAATTATGTTATTATTTATAACAGCACAAGTTGGGAGCACGTAAGATCACTGAGAAGCGGATTGCAGTAGTCAAGGCGAGAATGGACCAGCACCTAGCGCTTAGTAGGGTCGGATGCACGCAAGCCTGCGTGGTGGAGCTGATGGTAGCAACGTTGACTTGGAGGGAGACAGACGCAGGAGTATCAACACTTGAGAGAGGAAAGACCAGAATTTCAGTTTTGGTCAAGTTGAGTTTAAGGAAGTGGGCAGCCATCCAGTTAGAAATAGCAGAGAGGCAGTCAGAGACACTAGTCAAGAGGGACGGGGAGAGATCAGGAGAGGACAGGTAGATTTGTGTGTCATCCGCATAGAAATGATATTGGAAGCCAAAGGAGCTAATGAGTTTACCAAGGGAGGCAGTATAGATGGAGAACAGTAGGGAACCAAGGACTGAACCTTGGGGGACACCAACAGAGAGGAGTTGAGGTGAAGAAACAGAGCCAGAGAAAGAAACACTGAAAGAGCGCTGGGAGAGGTAGGAGGAGCACCAGGAGAGAGCAATATCTTGTAGACTGATGTTGCGGAGGAGAATAAGCTGTTGATAATCAACAATGTCAAAAGCTGCAGACAGGTCAAGGAGTATTAGGATAGAGTAATGACCATGAGATTTTGCAGCGAGTAGATCATTGGATACTTTGGTCAGTGCCGTTTCCACAGTGCTTAGCACGGAAACCAGACTGAAGCAGGTCTAGCAAAATTGCAAAATGTGCATACCAATTGCTACATACAAGTAGTGGTGACGTGATGCTCGATCAGGTTGCTAGAGGATAGGCAGAGAAAATGCAATGACATCATCTAGAGGATTAAAACAAGTACAGTAGCCACTTCGGATGAAAAAAGGGGACAAAAAAATGCATATAGCAGAGATATTCGGTATGCAAAGTAACTTTAATAAATAATAAAGCTAGACATAATAATCACATAAAAAAAATAGAGAAAACAGGTAAATCATATAATAAAGTATAATATGCACCGAAAGGTATGCAAAAAAAATATATAAAAATAATGTGGCAGATTACACAACAGAGTATATAACGGAGGGAATAGCCAGGGTCTAGATATATGGGTCAGACATAGACAGACTATAACAAGAAAAAACACACCACATATGAGCAGTCTATGTTCCAATACGTAAAACCCTAAGCCAGCCAAGTGTTAAGAATGTACAAAATATATATACATGTGACGAGACCAGTCTCGCCACATTGCATTGGAGAAGCCTGGTTGCTCGTCTGTTGCCTTTGGATTATGGCCCCATGTTAAAAGACTTCTTTTCCCCTACAGAAAAGGCTTATTAATGCCTTTCTGCCCGGCGGTCGGTAGATTCAATCTACCGAACTAACGCATGAATGACTGGACCACCTGGGAGCTGGAGCGTGTCGGCAATTAACCTCCCAGAAGCTGCGGTTAACCGCAGTTTAATTGACGAATGCTAGGTGACCGCCATTCGTATACCGAACACGAGGTCGCGGCCATTTTAAACACGCGGACGCACAGCGGTGTTCGATGCCCAACTCATGGAACTGAAAATGGATACATTTTGGCGCGAACACCGCTGAAGCCGCCGACCTCCCTTCTTGTTTGGTAGACGTGCACGAACGGCCCTATATTCGGTAGTTAGTACCTGAACACACCATACCCCAGATAGGAATCCCGTGGAGCTCATTAGTATGAAAACTGACTTTGTGAACACTTTGGCTCCACTGCGATTGGACTGTGTGCATAGGATCTGAGTGCTATTCGGTACTTTGGTGCGCTCAAATCCTAGCTATCTGGGGACATGTTGAATGCCTGTAAAATATAACAGTTATGTATTTTTATTTCTTTTTGTTATTGTCATCTAAAATGGCGTTTAGGCTCTGTCCTGGGAGATAATTGAATTACTTCACAATTATCTCCCTGAGCAGAGCAGAGGGTTCTGGGTAAGAATGGCTAAGTGTGTACCTTGTGATTGGTTGCTACAATGTCTTTGTCACAGTCTTCCATCTGGCCCCCTAGGGGAGTGTCCACCAGGTGGGAGACCTGCATAAATACTGGGCAGGTAGCCCTCATTAAACAGACCACTGCTTGACCGTCAACACGGAGCTCTGTGTCGTTCTTGGGGGGGATTTACTGTATGCTGATAGAGACTGATTGCTAGGAATGTAAGCCGCTTGGGTGCTTTTCCTATTCGTCTGCTAGCAGCTATTCGTGAGGTTCCAGTTCGGGAGTTTGGAGTGCTATTTTGTATACTGTTCGGGAGTTTGGAGCATTCCCTTACATGCGGTTCGGGAGATTGGTGTTCTGCAGTAGCTGTGCCTGTATCTCTGGAAGGGGAAGATCTCCTAAACGGCGGTGTAACCCTTTTATGCTGAGGGTGCTGTTACAATACATATATACAAGGTCCTCTCACCAAATCATCTAGGGTGGAATCACGCTCATGACCCAAAGGAAAAGGATTCAAAGCAAGGGCTTAGGACCAACCCAGTCAAAGTATGTATGAAAATAGAGGCCAGTCACTAAAGGGAATCAGTGCTTACAAATACAAAAATATATGAGGGTCGGGGCCCGGCTGCCGAGCCGCATGGCAGCAGACTAACATGGCCCCCGGCCCAAACAAACTAAACCGGCTCTGAAACGCCCACAGAAGGCACAAAGACCAGGTTATCCGCTGAAATAAAGGGAAGGATAACACCAGCTTTACAAAGATGCCAATTAGACCCTAAAAGAAGGCTGTGAGCACCGTAAAGGACTTTCAAGGCCTAACCTCGGCCGCAAGACCATACTCGAGTGACCATGAGTCGGTCAGAATACATGCCGATCCTCCGCGCCTGGACACAGACAACTTTAAAGAAAAACAAAAGCAACTTACCCAGGCAATGGACGCTGCTGGCTCGGGGCACGGCCCCGCTCCCTCCCCCAGCCGGTGGGGTAATCCGGCCTCATGGAGGCGACACGCGCCGAGACGGGAGTCCCTCGTGCTGGGCCCAGAGTGCCATCCTGAACTGGCAAAGGCTACCAAAAAGGAGCCCGCCAGTAAGAGTCGTGAGGACCATTTAACATACAAGCTCATTATGACGAAAGAAGACGTGAAGGGGACTATTAACTGCTTCGGAAGGGCTGGCGGGTACGGCACATGTGGCCACAGAGGTCGCCGGCAACTAAATTAATTCCCTGACTACCTGCCCACCGAAGGAGTTATGGCCCGGACTTGCGGAGTTTGTGGGGGTCCTCGGGGAGTCGAGTCCCTGGTGCTGCGAGTCCTGTGGATCAAGAAGATGCGGGCCTTCCGGCGGACCGGTGGCCGTGAGGGATGCGCATCATCCCCAAGTGTGTGGCCGGCACCAGGAGAGATGGGTGCTTACGCTCCACAAATGTTTGAGAGGTGCAGGGGACAGGGGGCGCTCAGACCCTAGGTGTGGCCCTGAGTGCCCACGGAGTAACGGAAAACCCTGCGGGCGGACAGCGACCTGTCTGGGGAGGACAGATGGAAACCCGGCGCACTGGGGTCATGTTATTGCTGTGCCATGTCTGGCCCAGATCGGACCATTGTAGAGTCCCCAACTACGGTCATTATGCTTGTATCCATATATTCGTATTTCTAAATTTTCATATATTTCATATGTCCTCATGAGGGGTTTTTTCCCCCCCTCCTTTTTTTTTTTTTCTTTACTTCTTTATTATTCTACATGCTACAACTGACCATTTGGACCTTAACATATGGTGATAATAATATTGCAGGTTCTGATTACCAGCCTTTTACTAAATTAACTTGGCACATAGCTATCAGCCAACCTGTAGGCATATAGTAGATGATGATATGGCTTCTTGCTTAAAATAGGTATGTTGATAAATGCACCTCTAGTTGGCCATATAATACCATGTTATACTAAAATAGATGTATCAAAATGTCTTATTTTAGGCCTAATTCACCAAAGTCAAAAGGGCTTCATAACCAGATGGCCGCATTATATAAAGGATACCCGCATGTCAGCGCCGTAGCTGATACAAAAATATGCTATCCAACACCATAATTCTTTCAACACGTACTAAGCAGTTAGGCCAGAAAGCAAATGTAATCCAAGTTTAACATATGGCCGCAAACTCTATTCGATTTTCTGGATTAAGCTTCAGGCATGCAGAAAACCAGTATTATTAGTACCGTTAATTATAAGCAACATAAGTTCACATACTCTGTTATTACAAGCAGTATTGTTTTTATGTTTTCACTTCTTGAATGCTATGCAGCAATTACCGCTCTACCCTCCTGACCGCATATACGAATGTGCTTTAAACAGTAGTAACATTGCTTACTACTACGTACATGACAACCTGATAGCTCCATTATATAATACTGCACAGCAACGTAAAAACAAATATACTCCTTATGTTTAAAGTTTGAAAGTTATTATTTTTAATATTTATATATCTACTTCATAGCA